GGATTTTACAAGGAGCAAATCCATTTTTCTCCCACCACTGTCTATCTCGGAAACTACATTTTAAAGAAGTCGTTTTGGAACAACATTGTGTTATATCTATTTAGATTTTGTCTTAGACGATTTTTCCTACTACTAAGTATGAATGGTAGTTAACTATACTTTTGTGTAGCCATTTGAACATGGAAATTGAAGATACATGTTTGTACAAAAATGAGAACTTTGGAAAAAATTCTCTTCAAAGACGATGACTCTGTAAGTTTGAAAGAAGAAGATTTTTAACTGTCATCAACTTTTTACAAGTATAAAAACAATTGGTGATGAAGAAGAACTGAGAGAACGTTTGGATAAACATTTAGCCCATAATTATTTAAAAGCAAACTGCTGAATTTCCAGCAAATTGCAGATTGTAAAAGAGCGGCAAGCTGCTCAAGATGAGCTGCCAAAGAGAAATGTCTCTATGGTTTCAAACTACAATGAGAATATGCTAGGGAACGGTACGGTACTGATGCCGCTTAGAGAAAGAAAGTGCACAAGGGGACTTAGGATGGTTTTTCAAGAATGAAGCTTAGAACATTAATGAGGAATATGTCGAGTCCATATCAAATGTTCCATCGCTCTTCGCAACCGAATCATGGGCTGTGATCAATGCACTACAGAAGGCTCGAGAAAAAGGTTCTGAGACCTTACACGTATGCTCCGATTCTCAGATTTTGTTTAACCTCCTTCGAAAGAAGAAATCACATACGTAGATACATAACCTTCTTTTCGAGATTAGTATGTAAGCTACCCATTTTAGGCAACTTTTGTTTCTTTTTGTTCCACGAAAATCCAATATGTTGACTTGAAAAGTGGCATTTTTAAAATTTCTTTTAATTTTTATGGTAAATTAATTAATTAATTATCTACGATTGTTTCACTTTTTACCATAACACTTTTGTATTCGTAAATATCTACGTCTAACTAATTTAAAAATTAACAAATCCAAATATATATATATTAAATGCGTATATTGGTAACACAAACACAAGCATAATGTGGGTACAAAACCTAATACTAACTAATAGGAACTAATTGGGGCTCGTTAAGGCCTCCACATCAGCAAAAGAAAAGAGCTCTACAAACCTGCAAATCCCCTTGACTTTCATTCCTTAATTTCCAAACGAATTGTTTTTAAAAATCTAACCCATCACCATAAAGCCCAGAGCCTATTTGCAACTTATTTATTTCAATAAAAGAACTCAAATTTACCTCTGTTTTCCGCCCTAGAAAATGCAGCCAACGTTTCCTCTCTCTCTCACGATTCTTCTTCCTATCGTTCTTAAATCCGACCACCGTTACGGCTACACACCACTTCCTCAGCGTCATTCTCCTACGAGTTATCACAATTCAATGGCTTTAATGGCCTACAGTCCACAATCCGCTCCTCCATCACCTTCCACTCTGTACCTTATATAAACCATATCCTCCTTACAACCCATCGCTCTTCAAATCTACAAAAGAGATCCAATTAGTGACGCTTCACGTGTCAAACCTAAACCTGAGGGATCTCTTCTAATTCTTTCTTCTATAACTCTCCAGCCTCTTTATCTCCCTCTTTATTCGCTTACAAAAGTTTACGATTCAATCCCCTTTCCTCCTTCTTCTTCCTCCCAAGGCCATGAATCAGTCTAATGGATATTTAATTATTCTCTTCCAATTTCAATTAATTGCTATATTATTCCCTTCACCTAATCATGGACATAAGCGTATCTTAGCTTATGTTCACATCATCTCCATTTTTCAGCCATTAATATTGGACTAATGATCTATGTTTTCTCATAGACCGGTTATTTCTGTCCGTTTGTGAATGTCTTGTTAAAGATTCAGCAAACTACATGGATCACATAAATGGGGAAAAACGTATGTAGTGACTCTTGTGATCTACTCTTTGCTCGCCATATTTCTAACAAGCCAAACTAAAGAAATCATATGCATCATTCATTTTGAAGCCACTAAATTGTTTGAGGAAATATTCAGTTTGTTTTTTTTTTATTTGTAAACTAAGCTGCACGGTTTTGTTGTTGCTTCCCACAGATCAAAGGGCGTTGGGAATGTCTATGCGAGTGGAGAGATCATCTCTTGAACAAGTAAAAGTTTTTCTCCAATGCATATGATATTTACTTTATTGTGTTTTCAATTTCATTGGTTTTGTATATAAATGAATCTGAGACAAAAGTGCTTCTGGTTTGAATGCATTAGGTCGACGAGCACTTCCAGATTTTAAAGATGCAGAAAACGCCAGGAACTTTCACCGCACAAGTTAATACTTCTGAGAGAACAAGGCAAGTCTACATATATAGTTGTCTTCTTTTCTTTTTTTGGGGTCGAATATAGTTGTCTTCTTGAACTCTCTTTTTTGCTTTTCCTTTGATTGGTTATTACTTCTTATGATTGACTTTTGCTGCACTGGCCTTGCTCTTAGTTTCTTGGGTAAGAACATCATATTTCTGAACTTCTTGATTTCATATCCCAATATTTGCAAATATTTTAGCGGCTCTATTCCCTTCCAACTAAGATGATGAGCTATTTACCTTTGACAGGAATTTGATGATGGACCTTCACATTCAATTTGAGACTTTGCTTTAAAATTTACTCAACTTATTACACAGTTTCCTTTTTCTCTATATGCACTAAAGAGTAGACATTGGCTTCTTATTAGGCTATAACTTAAAAAGTAGCAGAGTGATAACTTCATGTTGAAGATGCATATGTGACCTAAGAACTCGGCATGATCTTATGTTTACAGGTGCACCACAACCAAAGCTACAAAGCTGACTCACTTTTGGTGCCTTCTCTTTCATCGTTGAAGGACTGAACAAAAGGTAAACCGATTTGGCTCACTCCGTCTCCTTGAGAAACCAAACACGAAGTCTTCAAGATGATTTACCACTCTCTTTGGGTCTCCCAGTCGGTCTCCCAGTCCCACATGAAATCAAAGGAGTTTTCTCTTCCTTCGTGAATAGTTGTATATTTTCTGATTGTATATATCTTAACAACTATCAAACTGTTGGTTAGGTCATAGTTTATACACCCCTACTCACAATTTTTACTACTCATTTCAAGATGGAAGATAAACTTTTTTAGGTATTCATGTATACTCTAATGATTCTAACTTTC